AAATTGTAATTTAAGGCCTGACGAAGGCATTATATGCCGAAAGCTTGCCAATAAAGTGGTTAAACAAGTCAAGAGCTTCAAGCACACTGTTCAAGAACATATTGGATGAAGCTCAGAGATAGCAGCATCTTGTCATATTTGAAATTCCTGCAGAGCCGATATAGTATTTCTCGGGAACATTTCGCTATCTTACTACAATATGTGGGCCTCCACCAGCACGCAGTATACCACAACGCGTCAATTAAGTTCCTATACTCGTGCAAGCGTGAGCACATATTCCCCAACTTCATTGCAAATAGATTTTCGCAGCTACCCTTCCAGAACAACCGAGTTGTCCTCGCAAGAACTGAAAGCCTGAAAACTGCACTACTTGATGCGGGCATCGCCGAACAACGTCGTCACAAAACATTCTGCATACGAGGAATAGTTTTTTATCGGAACATACTACGTTCGGCGCTGAGTCAGGAGACTTGGCAGAGAATGTCTTCGGAAAACCAAAGGGTTTGTGCCCAGTTGCGAGGAAACCAGAATAGACATTTTGAAAGAAAACTTAACCTGCTGAGAGCCCGTCAACCACCCTCACAGGAGTCGCAGTTCTTCAGAATGAATGCTGTTCCACCAACTCGTCATGTGGTCATTGGAACAAATGAAGTGGACAATGATATGGCTGCCGCCCTTAATCTTGGGCCATCATTTGCAATAACACCCAGGGTGAATAATACAGTAATCGACGCCGCGCTCTGTGGAGTCCACCAATTCGCATATAAACTACGTTGGAGAGCACACCGCGGACCAACCGTGCTCAATCAGCATGACACCTTGATGTCCCTGATGCCGTTTAAAGGAAAGTCTATACAAATACCCCCCTCCTCACGTGACATGGATGCAAGAATTGCGAATTTGCAGTATAACATTCAGCAGATATACCAGAATGCAATGAGTGAGCCTTATCGCAGTAATTTGACACCATCCGAGCAAAAGGGAGTGAAGAAATTACTGCAAGCAAGAAGAACATTGAGGTACACGGTCGGAGATAAATGCGGTTCATTTGTCGTAATGCCTCAAACGATGGATAACGGCCCTCACCACGCAAGTGCTCTCTGATAGAACTGTTTATGAAGAGAGTACCTTGTCAGCATTTGATGCAATCTGCAGACGAGTGAAGCATGCTATCATGTCAACCGTGAAAGGGCGTACGAGTTCGGAAATGGCGAAACGGCTGCATGGTTCGGTTCCAATTGTGCCAACGCTCTATAATCTGGTGAAGACACATAAACTACCATCAACGCAAGATACAATGTCGCTCCCGTTAAGCGCAATCAAGACAAGACCAATTATTGCATCATGTGGTGGTCCAGCGGACAGGCTAAGTTGGCTTCTAGTACAACTTCTTTCACCACTGTTGCAATACGTGGGAGCACACATTGTGAACGTTGATGAATTCATCTCGTCTCTTCACCAGTGTCCCATCCAGACGACAGCCTTCTACGCAAGCTTCGATGTAGTTGCCTTATATACGAATGTGAACAATGCGGATGCAGTGCAAGCTGTCTTATCCCTTCTTGAAGAGCACCAAGATCACGTCTCTACAATGGGATTCTCCGCATGCGAAATAAAGGAACTCATTGAAGTTGCGCTGGAATGCAACATTTTCTGCTTCGACAACAAGATCTACAAGCAGAAACGAGGCTTAGCCATGGGTAATCGAATAGCACCCGTGTTAGCAGTCATCTTCTTGGACCACATTGAGAAGTCATCATTGTCAACTGGAATATTGTTTTATAAACGTTACATTGATGACGTGTTTGTTATTGGAAGAACGGAAGACGATCTTGTGGAAACCTTGGAGAGACTGAATTCACACGACAGGAACATAACCTTCACCAGAGAAGATCCAGGGAGGGACGGTTTTTTTGCCGTTTCTCAATACGAAAGTTCGGATAAGTGAAGGTCGAAAGGAACACCTGTGGTATAAGAAAGAAGCCTCATCGAATATACTGTTGCATTTTTGTTCTTATCCAGAAGTGCACACCGATATATATATGAAGGCAAACGTCGTGCGAAACTTGGTCAGAACAAAGGAGAAGCTTGGGACGCGTAGGGATTCAGATGTGGACGCGAAGGTCCAGAACATCCTTGAAAGCAACGGATATGTCGAAGTGCCTTTCAGGACCTGGTACCCACATACGTCACCTGATGGAATAACCTTAATGATGCCTTTCGTTAACGACAAAATGGCACGTCAGGTGAACCGCGTCGTGAAGAACTCCCAGCTCCCCATTCGTCTCGTTTTTCGTCCCGCACCCAACCCTTGAAAATCCCTCCTCACGCCTCAGATTATGAAAATCGGTGCCGCGATGAATCTTGCCGGTACTGCTCATCCGAAAAGATTTGTGAACTTCAAGGCACTGTTTATCTCATTCAATGCAGAGGATGTGGAGAAACGTACGTGGGGGAGACCGCGCGACCTTTGAGGAATCGTCATAGCGACCGAGCCAATAGAGACTGTTGAACAACCACCGCATAATTACCCACACACGAAGTAGCTTCTCAAGCAACCGTCACGCTTAAAGACACCCGAATGAGACCGCTCGTCTTTTTGAGTGAGTGTTTGCATACGCCATTATTGCTACAGGAACGCATCCAAGAGAAATAATGGAAGCTCGGGAGATACACCGCCTCAAGCCAGAGATCAATGCAAAAGAGGAGCTACGTGACCTTCTGAGACTCATCGCATAATCACCGCCACCCATTTGTCTCATTGTCATAGTGCGGGTCACTTATTGCCCTGAACACCCACGCCGATTAAGTCCGCTCCCCTCTCAAGGACCTGGATATTGAAGGTTTGACGCATTGAGCTCGTTGTAGCTTATATATGTATGCGAACATATGTAAATATAAAGGCCTGACGAGGCATTTATATGCCGAAAGTCTTGCCACATAAAGTGCAGTTAAAAACAAGTTCAAGAGCTTCAAGCAGCACTCACGCGTTCAAGGAACATACTTGGATGAAGACTCAGCAGATATGCAGTATCCTTTGCATCATGTGGTAAGAGCTATAAAGTCAGTTGCTGCTGTTCATAACATCTCTGTAACAAACCACATGCATTTGGAATAGAGCTGGCTTAGCGGTCGTACACGATGTCGTTACTAATAAGCAGTGAGGAATGAGTTCTGTTGGAATCACTGAGATCGTTATACTTGAGTCATCGATCGCATTGTTGTTGTGAGCGGTGAAGCGGATTTTCCCATGCTACCTTGTCAATTTTAGCTCCTATCACTTCCGTACCCGCCAATAACACTCCCGTCCCGTATCACTATCATATCACCCTGTATCGCCTCTCGGATCAGAGGTCCCAGTGTTGCTGTAACCTGCGTTACGAATCTGATGACCCTCCCCTTCCGAGGCCGCTTACCGTATCTTATCAACTGTTATCACTTTCTGTCGCCCGCCAATAATGTTCCCGTCCCACACCCTATATCACCTCACGGACCTGAGTTCCCACTGTGCTGTAACCTGCGCCACGAATTTGATGACCCTCCTCTTCCGAGGCCCCTTATCGGATCTTATCAACTGTTATCAGCTTCTGCCAGCCCCACCCTACGGCATATCAGTACTTGAAATCATGGTCCCGCCGTTGCTGCAACTTGCCACGAATTCACCCTCCCCTTTTAAGGCCCCTTATCGAATCTTATCAAGTGTTATCACCTCCTGTCACCCACAAAAGTGTTCCCGTCCTGCCATGTATATCACTTCTTGAAATCACGGTCCCGCAGCTGCTGCAACTTGCGCTACGATTTCGGTCACCCCCCCCCCCTTCTAAGGCCCCTTATCGAATCTTATCAAGTGTCATCACCTCCTGTCACCCATCAAAAGTGTTCCCGTCCTGCCATGTATATCACTCCTTGAAATCACGGTCCCGCAGCTGCTGCAACTTGCGCTAGATGTTGGTCACCCCCCCCCCTTCTAAGGCCCCTTATCGAATCTTATCAAGTGTCATCACCTCCTGTCACCCATCAAAAGTGTTCCCGTCCTGCCATGTATATCACTCCTTGAAATCACGGTCCTGCAGCTGCTGCAAATTGCGCTACGATCGGCTCACGCCTCCCCTTCTAAGGCCCATGTTATCAAGTGTCATCACCTCCTGTCACCCATCAAAAGTGTTCCCGTCCTGCCATGTATATCACTTCTTGAAATCACGGTCCTGCAGCTGCTGCAAATTGCGCTACGATTTCGGTCACCCTCCCCTTCTAAGGCCCCTTATCGAATCTTATCAAGTGTCATCACCTCCTGTCACCCACCAAAAGTGTTCCCGTCCTGCCATGTATATCACTTCTTGAAATCACGGTCCTGCAGCTGCTGCAAATCGCGCTACGATTTCGGTCACCCTCCCCTTCTAAGGCCCCTTATCGAATCTTATCAAGTGTCATCACCTCCTGTCACCCATCAAAAGTGTTCCCGTCCTGCCATGATATCACTCTTGAAATCACGGTCCTGCAGCTGCTGCAAATTGCGCTACGATTTCGGTCACCCTCCCCTTCTAAGGCCCCTTATCGAATCTTATCAAGTGTCATCACCTCCTGTCACCCATCAAAAGTGTTCCCGTCCTGCCATGTATATCACTTCTTGGAACTGTCATCCTATCTCTTCTGCGACGCTCGCTATGAATTTCGTGACACACACACACACACACACACACACACACACACACACACACACACACACACACACACACACACGATTATATATAGTAGGATCGGTGTTACTGTTCCGCTTACTGGCCTTTCCATTACATTAGGCCTAATCGCAGTGTATGGAATCGTCCTGATCTGTACTCTCCAGTAAACCTGAGGCCGTCACCGATCGATAGCTGTTCATGGCTACGTTTCTGCCTTTATCAGTGCTACGCGATTGTAACGGTAGCACGTCCGCGCGTCGTCGCGAAGTCTGAATGCAGCCTCACCACGTGGAGTTCCATCTTGTCTCTCCGAGATTTCAGATGCGCGATTCGTTACCATATTTTGCACCATTTTTGGAGATAATTTATATATCGGACTTCATGTCTGTGGTCAGTCATCTCGTTTCGAGCACCTCGTCGGCTGAAGTGAAGGTGAGATTGCTACCAACCACTGGGACACTTTTCCGCTATTTACCCATTAATTAACTATGTTTCTGTTTTCGTTCTACAGCGCCGAATCGTAGGGAGTTCTTCTTGCGAAAAATAGAATTTCTACATGTGAAATCACGTTTAACTGAAGAAGAAAGAGATAGAATGAGTAAAGCAGTAGGCCCTATAAATCTCGATGTTCCTGTAAAGGTAAGCGCCCGTTCTCAATTCGTTGCACTATATATTTGTTGGTTTTAGCTTGATAAAGACGGGAATCCAATAATGTTCACTTTCGCTGACTGCGATGAACCAATTGAATACGACAACAGCTAGAAATCTGGTTGGTGATTGTGCGTTCTTAGATCTTTTAGATCTCTTCTGATCTCAAAAGACGTATGGCCTTTCATCATTCACTTCCTATTACAATTAGAATTTTTTTGCAGCCCAGTGGCCCTATTTTCTCGTGAATTTAAGGATTGTTGTATAATTTGCTTCTGTAAATAGCACCTGTACCATAAATACTAACTCTTTCAATTAAGACCGATACTCACAACTAGCGTGTTGTTTGTATTGCAGAATGTCACTGTAAGTCGAGTGTTCCTTCAAACGGGATTCATAGCATGCAAATCCGTGAAAGATACAGATAAAAACATTTGGAGACATGTTTGATGTTACTAGTTTTGTCTAATGGGCATGTGTCAAGACAATCGTAGTATCCCATGCCAGAGGGCTTGGCGAACGACGCCGCGTCCAGTGGACGAGTTATCCTGCTTGGTCGTTCGAATCTGACTGTTGAAGGGACGGGGAATTTCGATATTGCTCATCATGGAGTCATCATTGAGCGCCGCCTAGTAGGCCTGACGTTAAGCCGTCAACTAGAATTGAAACTTCACAACTCAGACGTCAGGGCCATGTCGAAGATCAAGGACATTGTACTTCACGTTGACGAAGCAAAGCATCCATCTGCCGGCATGTTATGAGAAGAAATGACGCGCCCTCCTGGGCAGATTTTCTAGCCTATCGCAACAATGTTTATGATCAGATTTCTCCTAAAGACAGCTCCCGCGATAAAAGTGTCAAGGATAATTGCTGATCAATTATGAAACAGTAGCTGATAAGTAATTCCTCAATGAAGGAAAAAAACAACAAGAGCCCTCAAGAACACCATAAACAAAATCGCTCCCTGGCAGTCAACCCCCTGCGGTCGGAGAGTGCGGAGAGCAGAATTATTTATGGGCACGAGCGCGGTCAGCAAAAAGTACATGCAGTTCCGATTAATGCCCGCCGTCCCAACAAAGAACAACTGAGCGGCTCTCCGTCAGAGGGCAGCTAGCAAGTGGGCGGTCCAACTGAGCGGGCGTTAGAACTAGAACTCCACAGTGAGCGAGGAGCGGCTGTAGCTCGCTCCTCGCTCGTGGAGTCGCGAGAGTGGGACAGTATCTAGCTTGGGGGCTGAACTACCTGCACAAGGAAGGACGACCATGTACTACTTGAGCGCGGGGCTGTCTTTAAGGTCTCTATGCACTGGACAAGCAAGGCTCAAACAGAGATCAATGGAAAAGAAGTTGGGACCCGCGCAAGGTCAACCGCCGTGCTGAAGAACGGGTCGTCTAAGTAAGCAATCATCATGGAGTCTCCGCTTTTGTTCTTAGGAGCCGCTGCTTCAATCGACCCAGTGATGCGCACCGAGGATCTGCCGCGCAACGCTGCACGATACGCAGCGCGCGGCGAGGCGGCAAATTGCGATTGCCCTGTCCGTTTCCTCCGCGACGTCCACTTGTCCAACCTCTCCATACACTACTTATTCTCTGCTCTCCAAAACGCATTCATCCACATGCGCGAGATGCATTCGGCGAACGCTGCGCTCCTTCCTGCGCATTCTGGGGCGTATGAGAGAGGAAGCTGAGTTTGACACTAGCCCGTTTTCCACCATTGTCGGTCGCTTGTCAGCTTCAACAAATGGTGGTGAACATGCTCGACAAGTCCAACTCTCGGGTGCGCCCCAGCTCTGCATTGAACGATACTGTTTACGATTTAGCATACAAAATGAATCGCGTGAGCTAAACGACGTACAAGTCAGTGTAGTTATGCTTCGAATCAATTCTGGCGACAAGTAGCCGACATCGAAGAGATGGAAGAGTTGGTTATCCCGAAAAGGATGCGATATTTGACGTGGATCGTGCGCAGTTAGCGACGTCATTTGTCATAGCGATAAACTTGATAGTACCACACCTTGCCTTGTTTGGGAACTGAAATCAAGATCAGCGTTGCTACCATGTACGGCAATGAACTGAGGAACGAGAATATCCGTTTCATGTTTGTCTCGGATACAGCTTACCTTTCCCCTCTACACCTTCTGAAGGCTGAAAGAAGGTACAGCACTGAAGTAGGTGGGGACTAACTATTTGCCTTACTTCCCCACTTGACCGTTTTAAACTCAGAATCCTGCCGCGAACAGGGCACGCCATCGCGTTGTCATCGTTTCCTGAAAAATACGATTCCCCCAAATTAAATCCTCAAATACCGCCCCCCCCCCTTTCCCATGCTACCTACAACTTTCCTCTCAACTTTCACTTTCCCAACTTTCCACCATTTTTCCCGGAAAATTTCCAGTTTTTCAGCCAAGTTTTTCTTTTAGTTCCCCGTCGAGGGGGCAAAATCCCCCGAAAAAAAAAATCTTTTTCACCTGAAATTTGCTGTACGAGGTGGGGAGGTCGTCAGGATTTCACTATCATTTTCAGACGTCGGAAATATTAATTGTATTTTCCGGCATCACCATAACGAATGGGTGCCTGGCGCGAATATCAGCAGAAATAGAAACGCAACCTCACGTGACGAGGACGTAGACAAGCAAAATATTCGGTTAGGCGCGTGTCTAGCCCGCAGCGCGGGTGGAGCTGGGATAGAGCGCCCGTGTATCACAACCCGTGCGGAGAAAGATGCACACTACTGCAGTTGTGGACTCATTCACCTCGCACATGCCAAGGACTGTCCTCAGAGTCCACTGTACAAATTGTTTTGATACCTGGCTACTCAAGCCCTACCCTCCTCAAATTCCGTGCTTCATCTGACCTGATCTTTCTCGAGCTGCCCACCTTTCTACGAGAACAATTGGCACGAAGCACTAACTGCCTTGCTTACCAAACACATTAAACCAACTCTTTATTCATCACAATAATCTCATAACACACTGTATGACAAATGACTTGCATGAGGGGGATGAACGGAAGCAGCTGGTTCTTCTCGAGACAATTCGTGAGGTCGGCTGCGAAAATGAACGAACAAACCACCAATCCGTCAACGACTGTGTTGAGCATAACACTCTTTTGGTTGACTAAACTTCAGAAATACCACACGGACAATATGAAAAATAAATCACTAGAAACCAACGATGAGATGAGAGATATCAGTTTTTTTCAATAGAAAATGTGTGCGTGCGAGTACTACGCTCACAAGTCGACCACGAATTGCGTGGTCATTTCTATTCGCTAACCGATAAGCCGTATCAGGAGTAGTCAGGGATTACAGGGAAATTCAACGAGAGTGAGAATGCTTTTATCAGAAATAAATCTACACCTGAACCGGTACTATGTACACTGGTAATAGGAGTGGGAGGAAACCGAATGAACGCAGCATGAGGCGCGATAACTGTACGCGACTGCAATCACAACAGAGACCGATGGAAAGCAGACGTGAAGGCGCCGCAAATGCACAAGATGGAGGGAGGTGGAGTAGGAGCCTACAGAAATCATAGTGACATCCCAAAGTAATACCCTATTACATACACACTGACTGATTGTTTTTCGTACACAAAGCTTTGGGACGCGCACCGGTCGAGACCATTACATACCTATAAAGGCAGACGAAGTAAGTGCAGCTGACGGGGTAAGATGGCGATGATGTAGGCCTCGTCGTTTACCATCTCATAATGCGGCAACATCGGCGGCGGCTCACAACATCCGCATCAAATGTGACTCAGTTGGGACGCAGCGCGCGCGCGAGCAGCAGCACTGCCTAATGTTGGGATGGAGTGGTGGATGGGTGGGGATGGCTGGAAAACTGGGCGCTATACATTCAAAATAACTGACGAAGATGATGAAAATACTAGACTTGAATAAAAGAGCGATGACATTTTCGAAAAAAAAAGCGGGCGAACAACACACACCCTAGAAACCGTATTTTTGCGACATTTAAGAAAAAAAGGTAGAGGTGATGAGAACGTGCGATTTGAGGGGGAGAGTGCGAGAGAAGAGGAGAGCATGTCAATGAACGAACGAATGAACGCAAATCAAAAAATTTTTTAAAAAGTCCGGCAGTAATTATTTAGTTTGATCCACTAGCTGATGGCATTTCATCGTTGTTTCCCGTATCGTCGCTTCCATCCTTCACTTCCATATCACCCTCGTTCTCGCCGAAGTTCAGCCACGACTAAATGAATTACATAAGTGGTGAACCATAGAATACATAATTACAAGGGAGGGGCTATGGAAAAAAGGCGCAGTTCGGCTTGGTGGGGCATGAATGGTTTTCACCCAAGCTTGTGCAGGCCACCTTATGAAACTAGTAAATTCCTGCAACCAAAGTGGCTCATTCGCACATTCTGATGCTTCACAAGAGTTTACAGGTCTTACCAAGGAAAACCTCTTAGTTAACATGTATTAACAAGTGAAACAAGCGAAAGCGCAAACTGCTCCCTCAAAGCCGAACGGCGCAAAAAAACTTTCAATTCAACTGATTATTGGTCTTTCAGAAGAGTTTCGTGGAAAAGACGACTATAATAGTTGACTGTTGAGATATGCCACTGGCACTCATTCAGATCGATTCGACTGGAGCAAATTAGCTCTGACCAAAAGAACATCGATTCCCTACTCATCTATGATATCTCTCTGTAAGATATCATAGGAAATAAAAAATGAATGGAAGAAAGCGTCACTGTCTGGAATTTATAATATATGCGCAGCCCGCTATCAGAACGTTACGAGGAAAATCTCAAAACACGGCACTGCAACCTGCAGACGAAGGAGAGCTGATAGAGACGCTACTCATCAGCTACGGCAAAGAGTATTTTACAGTTAGTTGACTAGATAGACACAAGCACAGAAGGAGATGGCTGACTCTAGAAATGCAGAAGCAGAAAATGTAATGAGTCAATCGTCTAGAGAGAGAGAGGAGAGAGTGTACAAATGAAGAGACTAGAGTTTCACGATTTTCATTCGCTCAAACATGACCCAGCCTCAAAGACTATACGATAACTGTTATTGTTCAATAACTGCTGTTTAACGCTGCAGTGCGCGCTCCGAAAGCTATCACATGAATGCTGAGTTATGGGCAAAATCCGAGACGGCGATTCGAGACACTGCGTCTTTCTGCTTTCCGTGCAGCTGCGTTCCCTATTACGCTACCAGGGCCACTTTTGTCACTCGTTCAGACGCCCTTTGATCAATAAGAAGGCCTGTGCCCCCCCAAAAAAAAAAGCCAGGAGGAGGCAGTAACATTCTTTCGTAGAGAAGGTGAAAGATATTCAGCATAAAGACAAAAACTGTGCGAACAAGGTAAGGAGGAAATAGCCAAACATTGCGCAATGTTTGGCTGTATTCAGTGAATAGATGACACAACCAGTTATAGGATAGCTCGGTGCTAGATAAGGTTGTCCTCAAAATATGCGCTTAGAATATGCTCACTTTGCTGCAGGTTTTGAGCGCTTTTCACACTTTTGAGGCGACTCCAACGTATAGGTATTGATCCAGCGTTTTCAGCGATAATCGATTCCTATACTCTCAAAACCTCAGAGACGATTAAAGCGCTCAAAACTTGACCGCAAAGTATGAAGGCAGGCTTAATTGGCATAGACAGAACTTCTTACCTGCTCAACAATCTGTTGAACGCGTTTCTCATACTCGCGGCGATTCTCCTGATACAGCTGGGCAGCATGAGAGTTCGCTGGAGAGTTGGGATTGGGCTCATCCAACAGCGATTGTATGGACGTTAAAATCGCTGCGACATCATACGTTGGTGACCAACGATTCTGAAAGGACGAAAACTTCATTCAACCAAAAATGCTTTTTGAAGCTGTAAGTCCTACACCACATCACAGCTCAGTTATTTACGGTTACTGAACAAACCTGCAAGATGTCCAAACAAATCGATCCATCTGCATACACGTTAGGGTGGAACATTTTCGAAATGAATTTCACCGTTGGTGGTTTGTTAGGGTACTCTTCAGTAAATTCCAATGATAGCTTAAAAATTACATTTAATAGGGGGAACTGTGAAACAGCTACTAGTAAACATGTAACACGCCAAAACCACAACTTACCTTGAAAGTACCGTCTTCAAACGGGGTGTCTTGGGGTCCGAAAATAATCGCCTCCCACGCAAGGATGTTATCCTCCGTTGGAGCTCCAGAAACACCGGCAGGCGGATCCTCCTAAAACATCGAACGAAATCATTCACAAAGTGAAACGATAAAAGCAAAGCGTCAAAAATGTGTGCAAGAAAAGAATGAACTTGCGATCCGACTATTTCAATAACTGGCTGATCGTTACATAGCTAGGTGGGCGTTCATACTTTGCGTCAACGTTGTAAGTGTGCACCAGCGTACACTAACGTTTTGAGGAGGATGAGGAAACCATAGGTATCGATCTGACGTTTTGAGTCAGCTCATGCTATTCTATGCTGGTCTACGCTCTAAACGCTTAATCGATACCTGTTTTCATAATCGCTGAAAACTTAGAACGTTGGCGTACACTCAAAACGCTGCTGTAAGCACGAAACGCTGACGCAAAGCACCATCTCCTGCATGGAAACCACGAACCTGGAGTTTCTTGAAATCACGCATAAGTCGTCGTCTGCTGGGCGTCGTCATCTTCTTAAGCAAATCCTATGAAAGCGCGATGGCCTCCTAGAATTCAACACATACTAAATACATTACAGAAAAGATTGCCACATGAAAAGCAACTTAAAAAGAAGGAATTCGAGAAAAGTCAGATATAATAGCGTTCGTTTCAACGTTGTGCGAACAGACTACACCAAAATCCAAAGTATGGCATCAAAATTTTATTTACATCACACAACGACAACAACAGAATAATAACAGCTGTACAGAAACCTGGGCACAATGTGAAAGCAGCGAGCAATGACGATGTAAACAAGCCAGTTCAACTGGAATTCTCATAAATAATCTCGCATCCAGGGGGCAGGTCAATTGGTTCGCCTTGTTCATTCACGATGACGCATTCTTCAAGTTCCTGATCCGCCGCTTTCACTAGTCCTCCTTGTTCAACAGTATGATCATTTGGCGTCTGCTCCACCCACACAGCACTGCTGTCGCTGAGATGCTGACGAGCGTTTTGACAGTTGGATAGAAAGTACTGAAAAGCTCCAAATCTTAGCAAGTACCGCTTGGCTTGAATTTTCTTGTACTACTAGTTAAAAATCAAGCCACATTTTGATCGGCATTTTCCCCTCAATGGTATATTAAGTAGAAATACGTTCCAAGGGAGTTTGACCCCTGAAAACACATCCGCTCAATTTGGGATTCACTGGCGCTGGCGCCCTGGCGCAAGCGCCGAAACGCTTCGAGACGACATAATTGCTGGAAATTGCCCGAATGCTCAGTTTGAGTCCCTCAATATTAAAACAATTAGTACGTGTGGTGGGAGCTTCGGCGCCGAACTGGCTTTTAGTGCCCGATGCTTGAGTGCCAATGTAAGAGGTTTTCAGGTCGTGGAGTCCACTTTCAAAACCACTTGTTGCATGTTGTAAATGTTCAAGCTGGGACCACAAAACGTAGCTGATTTTCGCTGCGCGCTTCTAGGAGTGCCAGGGAGGGGCGAAAAAACCTTGCGAGCCCGGCTTTTTTGAACAAACTACTCTGGTGGTTTTGGTCATGTATTTCTCCATGCAAAGAAAACATATACACATACGAACACATGAAATAAAAATTTATGAAAAATTCTGTCACCCAGGGGAATCTAAGTATCAACCTACTGTTACCCCTTCTTTGGCCAGATGCGTGCAGCATGAATGATTCGTGTTTATTCGGTCCCTGGTCACTGCACGAATCCTCTACAGCATGCACTAAACCTTTTCGAGAATGGGCTCATCAACCTGAAGGACCTCCCTTCATTCCGCTTTCTCACCCAATGGCTTCAAGCGGTTGCCATATTCGTGTTCAGCAGCTCACAATATTTGGTCAAATATGCTCAGATTCCCTAAGGTGGTGCAGTAAAAGGAAAATAGTGCTATAATAAACCTCTATCTTCTGTCTGTTTGTTTGAGATCGAGTAAAAGAACAAACCTGCTCAAATCGTTCCATGATCGGTTCAGCTCGATCCAAAATCGCAGCAAGACGGCAGAGATTTTCAGATTTTTTCGTGAGAGCAAGTCGCCGCAAGTGATCCGAATGCGAGAGACAAACTCGTGACAATGCATCGATCATAGCTGAAAGACACTCGGTTCCAAACTTCTGGCAACTTTACATCGACCAAAAGCACTTCTGGAACATTGGGCACAGCCATGACAAATAAATCACATGAACTCACGAAGTGCTTTCGGCCTTAATATCCATCCATTACTAGCCCGTGAACCAGTTCCCGTCGAACGCTTCATACGGACCGGAGGCGCATCTGCATTTTCCAATCCTGCACGGCTTCGTGAAGCTTGAGCATCAGCCTGTTCTGCTTGCCGCTTCCTAGTTATTATAGCATCCTAAACAAACAATTTCGAGCGGAGTAACAATATAGTTCAATTCCAGAGAAATCCATGAAAACTGACCCTATTGGCTCTAGCTATCACCGGTTCAGATTTCCAGTGATATGTCAAGACAGCGATATGAGTGTTTACACGGGGCTCCGCAGCCTTGTCCCTTACAATGTACAGTTTCCGAACAAAGCCTGGCACATCGTTGCATTCGTACCGCTTTGCTAGGACCTGGAAAGATATAATCCAATATTGACAACAACTCTGTATATTTGATAACATAAATGAATTGCATTGCAGCGTCCAACCCCTAAAACTGGTAGAGGAGACCTACAGTCTTGTTCGCTGCGAATGAAGGGGCGTGCCAAGGCGGCTGCGTTTGGCGCGGCGCCAAACTCGTTCTCCACCAGTTGAAGCAAGCAAGCGATGAAACCCGTCAACTGGTGGGGAACGAGTTGGCAGAACGCCAACCCATAGCGCCTGTCAGGGCCCTTCATCCACAGCGAACTAGACTGTACACGAATTCCAGCCTGCTAATGTAAAAATACAACGCGACAGACGTGACATGAGAGATCATTAAATTGTACAAAACACTGAAGTGGGAAAGTGCAGAGATAGCCAGCGGGATATTGATTGCTTCTGGCGCCACCCTCAACTTAATAGGCGCAGACGGATAAGGGTGGAAATGGGACGGCATTTAAAGGACTTTTTTTTGTTCAAAACTGGCTTGCCATAATGAAGCTAATGATTTATGAAGGAAAGAGTTAGTGTAGGTGAAATCGCTGAAATCCCCTTCCACCACCTCTTTAAACTTAAAAAGACCTGCCCCGAACAAAAACTCTTAGAAGCAAGAACGGGAATAAAATGCGGTATAGAACTAGGGAACTTCTGGAATGTCAACCATTCATGAGTCATTTAAAATTCCTGGTATTTTTCAAGGAAATGTTCTCAAGAGCTGCTTGAGTCGTTTACATCATTGGGACAAAGACCTTCTGAAATCTTTTGCCCCATCAACCAGCCCATAGCATAATTAGGTCACGCCATGATGAAGGGAAAATCGCTCTCGCTATTTTATGGGACCCCTACCTCTTCCAAAACTCGTCCAGTGAAAACCGAGAACAGTCATCGGAATAAAAAAAAGATATAATAATGCTGAGACATCATCGATTAAGTCCAGGGAGGGAGAGGAGGGGGGGATAATTTACAATCACCACCCCAAGCAGAGCAGTTTCTCAGGCACAAGGTCAGTAGAACCAGCCATATGGACACGATAAGGCAGCATAAAAAAGCATACGAGCCATCTTTGTGACCAGGTACGTCGTACGCTAGGGTTTCCAGCAATGAGGGGGACGGGGTGGCGGGGGGGAAGGTGTGGGCAAGGGAGGTCGTATTTGGTCGCTGGAAGCAAAAAGGGGTTGTATTTGTCTCTGGTTTTTTTAGAAAAAAGAGCAGGAATTTTGGGAAACCTCGGGAAGTGGTAGGAAGCCGGAAGAATTCATGGGGTAACAGATCAGGAAATTCTTAGGGAGTCGTTGTGTAAAGTTTTCCCCAAAGACGAGCATGTCCTTTTCATGACTGATACCACCGCTACATAACAAGAAACAGTGCAGGTCCTGCCGCTGGTGAAAATTTTTGGCAAATACGACTTCAACTTTTCCCTCCAACCTACTACCTTGCCTTTCTAGCCAACTTCTCCAAGACCCAAAAAACAGCCACTGCAAGATTTTCCACCATTCCTCTAAAGGCGAATCCGATATCCCTCTATTCACGACGGGCAACCTGCCTTTCACCACCTCCCCATTGAAATTGCTCCAACGTTGTATAGCGCGTGTGAAACAATTTAAACCAACTACCGCAAAAAAATCTCAGACCGAACGACACCCCCCCCCCGCTGGGGATTCCGCAACGAAGGACAGATAACAAAGTGTATGAGCTGGTAACGAAAGGAAAGGTAAAGGAATACAGGGAAAGATCGATGACAGCAAAAGGATGCTGAGCAGACATGTGTGGCTACGTCGATGGAAGACGTCGTAAAGTTAAAAGCGGACAGGGAACGACAGAAAAAGGGGACCGATATCCAGAGAACTGAGAAGGAATTGTAAACGACACTGAGCAGGAAAGGAAAGGCTTGGACAGCAGTTGCTGAAGAGCACCAACATCCACAATGTGTTTTCCCAGATTTGGGAAACCGTGTTACACACTTGAAAGTGCGCACATTGATTTCTCCGCGCCAGCGCACCTCTTGCAGGTGAGTGGATGGAATCGACCAGAACAGAACGATTTGCGATCCATTTTGAGTGTCCTGGATCTCAAGCACCAAGCTCCCAGAGATATCAACCGAGCAAGGGTGTATTGAAGCTGAACATCAGGCAAAACGCACACACACATATACTCGCAAACAATCAGCTGCGAGCGGCGATCGATAGCCGCGCCGACATCTACGGGCGGCCTACTTGCTCGTCGAGGACCGGGACAGCCTCATTTCTCACAGCACTCATGACATCACTGCACACTATTTTCATCACGAGATGCTTAGAGAGGCAGCCTAATCAGAGCTCGTGGCGTGTCGAAGCGCTTAAAAGGACAACACCTTATCCAATCCAACTCAAACTTGTGACGTGGTGACATCATCAGCGCAAATTTCCTATGGATTATGAAACCTGAACGCTCCCTCATTTACCGGCCGGGAATATCCTGGAAATTTCCCTTGGCGCAGTTCGGCGAGGGGAGGGGGAGCATTTTGCACTTTCACTGCTTCACTACTTCCAGTTTAGTCTCACTCTGGTGGAATCTGTGACCATTTGTGAAGCTGGAGCAAGCTCGACGAGCCACCATGGGTATTTGTACGGTATTTCGTGGCCTCACAGAGCTAACAGATATTCTTTACAAGAATTGACAGTTAGCCTCTACGATTTTTGACTGGGAGCATTTCGTGGCTTCACAGAATTTCACGGACTCCAATTGATGGCTCGACACGACGACGGAAAGTACAAAAGCGCAAAATCCCCTCCCTCACGTCGGTCGAAGCTTGCTACTTCCCCTAAAATTATTTTCGACCAAAAAGTTGTTGAGGGATGTTCAAGTTCATTGAGGGGAGCGGTATTACGAACCAGTTTCCTTTGCTTGGATAGTCGGGTTCAGCTCGCAAACCATTTGCACAGAGAATCTCGCTTGAACTGCTGAGGCAAGATAGCGCTTCTGCAAGAACTGGGCGCTAATACTTGGGGAGGAGGGAGGGGGGGGGGGGACAACTCATACATTTGTCAATCGCGACGTCTCCCTCTTCTTTCCTGTTCCTCTCCTCCTATATTCCTTTCTTGTTCCTTTCTTTTTTTTCTCTATTGTTTCTTCCTTGTT